GCTACGAATCACCCCAATGTGTAGTTTATAGTTAATAGTGGCTAAAATTGGTGATTAAGTTAAATCCTTGACCAAGTGACATGACAGAGGCAGGACAGGATGAACAACCCAGCGGGTTTTCTTCCTATTGGGGAGTGTTGTACATGCTGCTATGGCGGTGTGTCCACTCACAGGATGAGTGACGCTGCCCAATACTGTCACTATGGCGGTGTGTCCACTCACAGGATGAGTGACGCTGCCCAATACTGTCACTATGGCGGTGTGTCCACTCACAGGATGAGTGGCGCTGCCCAATACTGTCACTATGGCGGTGTGTCCACTCACAGGATGAGTGGCGCTGCCCAATACTGTCACTATGGCGGTGTGTCCACTCACAGGATGAGTGGCGCTGCCCAATACTGTCACTATGGCGGTGTGTCCACTCACAGGATGAGTGACGCTGCCCAATACTGTCACTATGGCGGTGTGTCCACTCACAGGATGAGTGGCGCTGCCCAATACTGTCACTATGGCGGTGTGTCCACTCACAGGATGAGTGGCGCTGCCCAATACTGTCACTATGGCGGTGTGTCCACTCACAGGATGAGTGGCGCTGCCCAATACTGTCACTATGGCGGTGTGTTCACTCACAGGATGAGTGGCGCTGCCCAATACTGTCACTATGGCGGTGTGTCCACTCACAGGATGAGTGACGCTGCCCAATACTGTCACTATGGCGGTGTGTCCACTCACAGGATGAGTGGCGCTGCCCAATACTGTCACTATGGCGGTGTGTCCACTCACAGGATGAGTGGCACTGCCCAATACTGTCACTATGGCGGTGTGTCCACTCACAGGATGGGTGGCGCTGCCCAATACTGTCACTATGGCGGTGTGTCCACCCACAGGATGGGTGACGCTGCCCAATACTGTCACTATGGCGGTGTGTCCACTCACAGGATGAGTGACGCTGCCCAATACTGTCACTATGGCGGTGTGTCCACCCACAGGATGAGTGACGCTGCCCAATACTGTCACTATGGCGGTGTGTCCACCCACAGGATGAGTGGCGCTGCCCAATACTGTCACTATGGCGGTGTGTCCACTCACAGGATGAGTGGCGCTGCCCAATACTGTCACTATGGCGGTGTGTCCACTCACAGGATGAGTGGCGCTGCCCAATACTGTCACTATGGCGGTGTGTCCACTCACAGGATGAGTGACGCTGCCCAATACTGTCACTATGGCGGTGTGTCCAATCACAGGATGAGTGGCGCTGCCCAATACTGTCACTATGGCGGTGTGTCCACTCACAGGATGAGTGGCGCTGCCCAATACTGTCACTATGGTGGTGTGTCCACTCACAGGATGAGTGGCGCTGCCCAATACTGTCACTATGGCGGTGTGTCCATTCACAGGATGAGTGGCGCTGCCCAATACTGTCACTATGGCGGTGTGTTCACTCACAGGATGAGTGGCACTGCCCAATACTGTCACTATGGCGGTGTGTCCACTCACAGGATGAATGGCGCTGCCCAATACTGTCACTATGGCGGTGTGTCCACTCACAGGATGAGTGGCGCTGCCCAATACTGTCACTATGGCGGTGTGTCCACTCACAGGATGAATGGCGCTGCCCAATACTGTCACTATGGCGGTGTGTCCACTCACAGGATGAATGGCGCTGCCCAATACTGTCACTATGGCGGTGTGTCCACTCACAGGATGAATGGCGCTGCCCAATACTGTCACTATGGCGGTGTGTCCACTCACAGGATGACTGGCGCTGCCCAATACTGTCACTATGGCGGTGTGTCCACTCACAGGATGAGTGGCGCTGCCCAATACTGTCACTATGGCGGTGTGTTCACTCACAGGATGAGTGGCACTGCCCAATACTGTCACTATGGCGGTGTGTCCACTCACAGGATGAGTGGCGCTGCCCAATACTGTCACTATGGCGGCGTGTCCACTCACAGGATGAGTGACGCTGCCCAATACTGTCACTATGGCGGTGTGTCCACTCACAGGATGAGTGGCGCTGCCCAATACTGTCACTATGGCGGTGTGTCCACTCACAGGATGAGTGGCGCTGCCCAATACTGTCACTATGGCGGTGTGTCCACTCACAGGATGAGTGGCGCTGCCCAATACTCTCACTATGGCGGTGTGTCCACCCACAGGATGGGTGACGCTGCCCAATACTGTCACTATGGCGGTGTGTCCACTCACAGGATGAGTGACGCTGCCCAATACTGTCACTATGGCGGTGTGTCCACTCACAGGATGAGTGGCGCTGCCCAATACTGTCACTATGGCGGTGTGTCCACTCACAGGATGAGTGACGCTGCCCAATACTGTCACTATGGCGGTGTGTCCACTCACAGGATGAGTGGCGCTGCCCAATACTGTCACTATGGCGGTGTGTCCACTCACAGGATGAGTGGCGCTGCCCAATACTGTCACTATGGTGGTGTGTCCACTCACAGGATGAGTGGCGCTGCCCAATACTGTCACTATGGCGGTGTGTCCACTCACAGGATGAGTGACGCTGCCCAATACTGTCACTATGGCGGTGTGTCCACTCACAGGATGAGTGGCGCTGCCCAATACTGTCACTATGGTGGTGTGTCCACTCACAGGATGAGTGACGCTGCCCAATACTGTCACTATGGCGGTGTGTCCACTCACAGGATGGGTGACGCTGCCCAATACTGTCACTATGGCGGTATGTCCACTCACAGGATGAGTGGCGCTGCCCAATACTGTCACTATGGCGGCGTGTCCACTCACAGGATGGGTGACGCTGCCCAATACTGTCACTATGGCGGTGTGTCCACTCACAGGATGAGTGGCGCTGCCCAATACTGTCACTATGGCGGTGTGTCCACTCACAGGATGAGTGGCGCTGCCCAATACTGTCACTATGGCGGTGTGTCCACTCACAGGATGAGTGGCGCTGCCCAATACTGTCACTATGGCGGTGTGTCCACTCACAGGATGAGTGGCGCTGCCCAATACTGTCACTATGGCGGTGTGTCCACTCACAGGATGAGTGGCGCTGCCCAATACTGTCACTATGGCGGTGTGTCCACTCACAGGATGAGTGGCGCTGCCCAATACTGTCACTATGGCGGTGTGTCCACTCACAGGATGAGTGGCACTGCCCAATACTGTCACTATGGCGGTGTGTCCACTCACAGGATGAGTGGCACTGCCCAATACTGTCACTATGGCGGTGTGTCCACTCACAGGATGAGTGGCGCTGCCCAATACTGTCACTATGGCGGTGTGTCCACTCACAGGATGAGTGGCGCTGCCCAATACTGTCACTATGGCGGTGTGTCCACTCACAGGATGAGTGGCGCTGCCCAATACTGTCACTATGGCGGTGTGTCCACTCACAGGATGAGTGGCGCTGCCCAATACTGTCACTATGGCGGTGTGTCCACTCACAGGATGAGTGGCGCTGCCCAATACTGTCACTATGGCGGTGTGTCCACTCACAGGATGAGTGGCGCTGCCCAATACTGTCACTATGGCGGTGTGTCCACTCACAGGATGAGTGGCGCTGCCCAATACTGTCACTATGGCGGTGTGTCCACTCACAGGATGAGTGGCGCTGCCCAATACTGTCACTATGGCGGTGTGTCCACTCACAGGATGAGTGGCGCTGCCCAATACTGTCACTATGGCGGCGTGTCCACTCACAGGATGAGTGGCGCTGCCCAATACTGTCACTATGGCGGTGTGTCCACTCACAGGATGAGTGGCGCTGCCCAATACTGTCACTATGGCGGCGTGTCCACTCACAGGATGAGTGGCGCTGCCCAATACTGTCACTATGGCGGCGTGTCCACTCACAGGATGAGTGGCGCTGCCCAATACTGTCACTATGGCGGTGTGTCCACTCACAGGATGAGTGGCGCTGCCCAATACTGTCACTATGGCGGCGTGTCCACTCACAGGATGAGTGGCGCTGCCCAATACTGTCACTATGGCGGCGTGTCCACTCACAGGATGAGTGGCGCTGCCCAATACTGTCACTATGGCGGTGTGTCCACTCACAGGATGAGTGGCGCTGCCCAATACTGTCACTATGGCGGTGTGTCCACTCACAGGATGAGTGGCGCTGCCCAATACTGTCACTATGGCGGTGTGTCCACTCACAGGATGAGTGACGCTGCCCAATACTGTCACTATGGCGGCGTGTCCACTCACAAGATGTATAAATGACAGGTAGACTTGAGAGGAAGGCTTCAAGCAGCGGTTAGTAAGGGGCCCACGAGCGGTTCCGTGCGGTCAACCCCAGGGCCCCGTTTCCCTTGCCCAATTGATTTATTTGCAGATTACATGTCTTCACATCTACCCCCCCCCCATTAACCCCTCACACCAGAGCCCCCCCCCCTACCCTACCCCCCTCTTCAGCAACCCTACCCTAACCATACATCCTCCCCAAGTTGGGGCGCTAAGTCTCATCTCTCGCCCTCAGTTTCTACAGCACCCCCAGGCTGGAGGGGAGTGAGGGCAGGATGTTCCCACTTGCTTGACCCCTCACTCTCTCCCCTCTCCCCCCCCCCCCCCCCCCCCACCTTCCGTCACCTCGAACCCAGACCAGCACTTCCTCCTCCTACCGTTCCCTACCTCGGCGCCTCCGTCAGGTAACGTCCGCCCCCACCGGTAGGGGGTCGAGGCTCTTAAGTGCCTCCCGGTGGTGGGGAAGGTAGGTGTCGGTGCTTGATTTCGGGGCTTACCGTCCCCGCGGCCCGGTCTCCCAACGTCTAGAGGCGTTGCCTAGCCATGGAGACGGATAGGGGATAGAAGGAGATAGGTAATCACCTCGCGCTGTGAACAGGAGGGAGCGCGCCCATCTTAGCTACACCACCACAGCTTCCGACTGAGGCAGTGCTTCTTCAGGCGGACTACACAGCACTTTCCTGAGGGGGGGGGGCGGGGGCAGAGGTCAGGGGGCGCGGGGGCAGAGGTCAGGGGGGGGCGGGGGCAGAGGTCAGCATGCTGACCTAGAAGGGCAGCCGGAAGTGGGGGGGGGAGTCCAGGTCGCAATGGTCATTGGTCGTTTGGTCGTTGTTTGGTCGTCCTGGTCGTTGTTTGGTCGTCCTGGTCGTTGTTTGGTCGTCCTGGTCGTTGTTTGGTCGTCCTGGTCGTTGTTTGGTCGTCCTGGTCGTTGTTTGGTCGTTGTTTGGTCGTTGTTTGGTCGTCTTGGTCGTTGTTTGGTCGTCCTGGTCGTTGTTTGGTCGTCCTGGTCGTTGTTTGGTCGTCCTGATCGTTGTTTGGTCGTCCTGGTCGTTGTTTGGTCGTCTTAGTCGTTCTGGTCGTTGTTTGGTCGTCCTGGTCGTTGTTTGGTCGTCCTGGTCGTTCTGGTCGTTGTTTAAGTCGTCCTGGTCGTTGTTTGGTCGTTCTGGTCGTTGTTTGGTCGTCCTGGTCGTTGTTTGGTCGTCCTGGTCGTTGTTTGGTCGTCTTGGTCGTTCTGGTCGTCCTGGTCGTTGTTTGGTCGTCCTGGTCGTTGTTTGGTCGTTCTGGTCGTTGTTTGGTCGTCCTGGTCGTTGTTTGGTCGTTCTGGTCGTTGTTTGGTCGTCCTGGTCGTTGTTTGGTCGTCCTGGTCGTTGTTTGGTCGTCTTGGTCGTTGTTTGGTCGTCCTGGTCGTTGTTTGGTCGCCCTTTGCAGCCTCTTGTATCACCTGATGGCTGAGTGGACAGCGCTCGGGATTCGTAGTCCTATGGGGTTCGTGTTCGATCCCCTTTTGAGGCGATAACAAATGGGTAGTTTCTTTCACCCTGATCCTCCCTGTTCACCTAGCAGTAAATAGGTACCTGGGAGTTAGACAGCTGCTACGGGCTGCTTCCTGGGGATGTGTAACAAAAAGGAGGCCTGGTCGAGGACCGGGCCGCGAGGACGCTAAGCCCCGAAATCATCTTAAGATAACCGCAAGATGACCTCAAGATAAGAGGAGTCGTCAACATACTATGATAACAAGTTGGTTTA